AGAGGTTTACGCTATTCGATATCAAATGTAAATTCTGTTAATCTTCTACACTTAATAGCCTTGAGTGAATGCTTAGTTAATGATTGTATTGACTATTATTTAATTATATTATTATTTAACCATAGTTTGTACATTTTTCCTTCTGAATTATTATACTAGAATTTGGATTATTTTATTTTATTCTTATTACACTTATTATTACAGTTCCCAAAGAGGGTTGACGTCAGGCAGGTGGCCGGTCGTAAAACTAAAAATCAAGTCTTTTTGTAATATGGACAAAATCATATTACGCCGACCCCAAATTATTGGGATAAGGGTAAGAAGATGATGATATTACACTTGGAATCAACACCTTATATCTAGTAAGATATGTGATATCTAGAAGATGGGTGATGGTTTTTTTTTTATTGGTGAAAATGGAATGGTAACCCCGCCTGCGCTAATGGGATACACTGGCGGGGCACCAGTGAAGGGTGATAGATGAGAATGAAAACACGCCAGTTAGCCCATCATGATGAATTCATTAGGAATTAACCATAGTGTATAGTTTCCAGGGGGAACCACGAGGAGGTCGATTTGGTTAAGTATATTGCTAGCAATGAGATTTTCAATCTCAATTACTAACTCTCCAATCAATAAATCAACGCACTGGGGAGAAAAGGATTGTTAGTAATGGACATTAAAAATCCTATTTCGTCGTCCTAATCCTATGAACTGTCATGATTAATTTAGATGATTTCATCATGAGATCTGGCCTGTTTTCATTCTCATCTATCACCCTTCACTGGTGCTCCGCCAGCGTATCCCGTTAGCGCAGACGGGGTTACCATACCATTTTCATCCAATAAACAAAAAAAAATCAACGCACTACAATGACCTCTATTTATTAGAACCATCGATCAATATGCCAACTAGATGTCCAATCATAGCATAAAAAACGGCCAAGCGATACTTGATACTTACTTTGAGACCGATTTCCTATTTTTAATGCTAATTTCACACTATTATGTAGATCATCATGGTTCGTCCTAGTCACTTTTATACTTTATCCGAGCTGTATCCATGTAAATTTTAGTATATATGAATATCAATTTATACTTAGGACCGTATTCGAGCATTCTTACACTTTACTAAGGTTGACTGGGTAATTTTTTTTAGCATTAAATCCGCCTTGGGCACATATTTTGTACTGAAGGATAAATAAATAAATAAATACCTGCCTGTTAGCCTGTTTTTTTTTTTTTAATGTTAGGTGACATCTTTACAAATTTCGATGGCATTTTATTAAATAATTTTGAAATTTATATGATGTGTATTGGCATAAAATGCGACCAAATTATGGTCGCATTTTATGCCCATGTTTGTATTGTCACTATTGAAGTTACTGTTTTATTTTTTGTTTCTTAATTTTTCAATAAAAAATATATACTTTGTGATTAGCATTTAACACTTTGTAGTTCCGGCACAGAATTAACCACCTGTTCATTTCCGGTGGGTGTCGTAAGGTACGACTAAGGGAACTTAATGATCAAGAGATATGCAGCAATATCTCCTATAAAACATCGCCAAAGCCTAACTGCGGTTGCCAACCCACCTGCCAAACGTAGCAACTACTGGCAAATCCCTTAATAGGAAAGGCCTATGTTCAGCAGTGAACAGTTAATGACTGATATAATGATGATGACTCAAGACATCGAAACAGTTAACTTTTAATCCGTTTTAAATTTTTTTAAATATCCTATAAGATCCCACTCGTTAGTTCTATTTTAGTTCATGATAGTTGATCTAGTCAATATTGTTGATCGAAGATTAGATAGAACAATGCACTATAAACAGTGGTCGCTATTTACTAAGCACAATGAACTATGACGATCACATTGTTCAAAAGTTCAATTGGCATGTCACATAAATGGTGTACAATCGATTGTGTACCATAAAAATAGTTTTGGTTATACAATAACTTGTGGTAGAAAGTGTTATCTATTTTCCAATCGACTTCAAAAAGAAGGTAAAAGTCGATTGCTTGGGTACCTCTGTCCCATTCGTGTTTCAACCGTGAAGCAGTTGTGTTTGCATGGCTGTGTTTCGGTTTGAAGGGTGGGATATGGCGTGAATATACTGGCTACAGAGGAATAACACCTGAGTCCTCAGGAATGGCAACGCATGGGGGGTATCATGGGCGAAATAGTATACTCTGTTATGTCCATGGTACTGCTCATGTCTATAGGCGACGGTTATCACTTTCCATCAGGTGGGCCATCAGCTTGTTTACCATTCTAAGTTGTATAAAAAAAAATCGATTTTTACGCAAAACGGCGCAAACGAATTGTTTCGCTATTGGATAGGGTGCGTGTTAGCTCAAACAGTGTCTTAAAAACAATTGCTAGTAAAATAGACTGTCCCATCCTAAAATATTGGGTGGGACAGGTTATCAATGCAAGAGCGTCATGACCGCTCATTTACTGACATAGGTTAAGTAAATTTATAACTAACAAAATAGGCCTTATGTTGTCCGATTAAATAAATATTATTATTATTAATTCGGTTGCATTATGTTTGTTACCTCATAACTCCATTAATTCTTAACTTAGGAAAATTCTATTTTTTTTTATCTAAAAGGATATACTTATAGAGTGGTTCCATTGATATTTCATCAAAATCGGTTCTGTAGTTAAATTTTTAAATAAAAATTACCTAATTTTGTCACAATTGTAGTCGATTTTTTTGTCGGACACAATCTTTAATTAATTACATAACATTTCATGTTTCATCCAATTACATCGGGCAAATTATTTTGTGATCACTCCCTTCCTTTTGTAGTACATACAGATCTTTTTTTTTATTTCGAAAATACGAGATGGAAACTTTAAATGGTCTTATAGAGATAAATTTGAAATTGACACCTGAACGCTTGTTTGCCGTTCCAAGTATTACAAAAAAAAACTTGTAATGCAATAGATAGCCCGCCTATATGGAGTTGCCCGGTTTGGTCATAGCCACTCGACTGGACTTGTTAGTTGATCGAAATGCGAAAAAGCTTAGATTATATAGATGAAGTGTCTACATACAAAAAAAGCGGGTCTACTTTTTTAACTATATAAATTATATTTTGCATGATAAGTGATGAGTGTTTCCTTTATAACTTCTATATTTGTTTTATAACTTTTGCACCTTTTTAATGCGTAAAAACTCATTTTATTTATTAAATGATTAAATATAGATATGCCAAGGTACATTGTGTGCGTAAGTATATAGAACACTGATCAAAAAAAAAACTAGTCAGCTAATGTGATAATTACCTGGCAAAAGTTAATCCGTTTTTGAGACTCGATGCTCTATCTAAGCATATAATCTAAGGCATAGACATACTTGAACTCGAACAGTGTCTTTTGCTTTACTTCAAATAAAAAATGCACTAAATATTAAAATAGTGTAACAAGCTTATTTAATTTTTTTTTTTTTTTACTTTATGGCTGCTTGTGTGCATACAGAAATTACTAGAAAGAATTCAGTCTAACCTAGTACAATACAAATCTTAGAATCGAATCTGGATTAAATTAAGTTAAATTTAAGTATTCATATACTTATTTTTCTAATATCTAATATTTTTTTACATTTGTTTGACATAATTCGGGAATTACGTATAAAACATGATCATAATCAAGATGATTCCCCATAACGTATTGAAGTTACTTTATGGGGAAGTTACTTTACACGCAGAAAATCTCAATTGCCAGCATTTTTTTGTGTGCGATATCTTATTGAATTCTAAACTAATATTTACAGAATAACTGGATGTATCTGAGTGTACCAAATTTCATTTAAATCTTTTCAAATATTAAGGCGTAATTTGGTTTATTTATTTCAAGCTTAATACTTTTAGTTAATTTTAAATTTTCGCGTTGTTTACACATATTTTAAAGGCACAAACGTCGGCAATAAAGAAACAGACATGTAGGTACAATTTACTATAATTTTTACATCGCATTAAGTCCCTATTATGTATTTAAAATATAAACACATTTATTTGTATCTATACATAAATCTTAAAAATAATTAAATATTGCCAAATTTGTTATTTGATTAGAATTATTTTGTTTAATTCAGCTATCATTGTACCTATGTGTGTAACTGGCAGCACTCAATGGTTGATTACTATTACTACCAAACTGAAATCAAAAACCTTTTCTATTCTATAAAAAAAAAACACACACACAATTTAATATTGTGTTCCACATAAAACGGATTAATATTTTGCAAATTCAGTTATTTTTACTTAAAAATTAAACTACTGAACTAATTTTGATAAAATTTCTATTAGACCTATCTGTAAGTATATACTTACAGATAAAAAAAGATTGTTTCAAATCTATTTATAAATGGCGGAGTTATGAGGTAACAAATATAAACAAATACAATCGAATTAAGAACCTTCTTCTAATTTTTAAAGTCTGTTAAAAACTTTTTGCGCGTTTTGGTCACAAATATTAATAAATCAATATCTTTTTCATGCTTATTTCTTATAAAGATTACTACTGTTCCACACCTTCAATTTTTTATCACAGTTTTTTTTTTTTTTTATATTATTTTTTTTTTTACCTACTATTAAACAATATACATATCTATTCAATATCCTTAAAATCATCTTCTTTTAGGAAAGTATTATCAGTATTAACTATAAAGTGTCTTTATGATGTCACTGATGATCTCATGAATAAAAAACTATATCCCTCTAATTTTTCCTTCTTCATCTTAATTAAGTAGGCAGTCTTTAAATCCAGTGAAAGGTAGATTGGTACGGCAGACACCTACGTATTTATGAGTTTATTGATCTGTTAGTGGTGATAAACTGAGCGCAGTAAACCCAACAAAATGGACACGTACATTTTGATGACCTTGTTGACGATTAATTCCGATTCAAGCTTAAGTCAATAGGTTGCGTCGCGGTGCCTCGGCCTTGTGTGTGACGTCACTGTATGCCTCCGCGCCGACCCACAACGCTCGAGCTATCGAACGTGCGCGCGCATCTACAAATGATACAAAATTAAAAACGCGGCTTTTTACTTTTTTTATATTTAAAATTAGAACTAATTGAGTGCCAGTGCTTTGATTTGAATTGTTTGATTAAGTGCAATGTGGATAACATTTGGCTGTTTGGATTGTTCCGTTGACGCTGAATTGAGGGTGTAAACAAAAAAAAATTCGTCGTTTATAAGCAGTGAGTTTCATTAATTTCTCTCTTATTATATATATTTTTATTAATCATGCATATATATTTATGGATGAAATTCTATTAATGTAATATTATATAATGATTTTTAAAAAGAATCTAGGTTATATTTTTTGTGAAGCAACGGTGTAAGAATGTGTCATTTAGTGAAACAACTAAGAATTGAACATACTCGTATGTATCAAATAAAAAAAAAATATTTGAACATACTGCTCTGCTCCTATTGATCGTAACTCAGGAATATAAAGTAAGATATCAGTAATTTTTGTTTCTATAAAAAAAGAGAAGACAGACAAAAATTTTATTGATATTTTTGGTAAATTGATAGAAAAACTCTTATTTCAGATTTATTTTATATTATTTATTTCTCCATTGTTTCTGTCTACCCTAATGGGAGACAGGCGTGACAGTTATGTATGTATGTATATGAGCAGCTCTTTTGAAAATTGTGTAATCATAGTACGTTTTAGAACACATATAGTAATAGTACTATCTTATTATCTTTGTTTTATCTTCATTACACACAAACAGTGATTACGAAAACTAGGAACCAAACAACGCCAATTCGCACAAACAAATGCTTAATAGATCATATTAGTATCTAGATGGAGCATCGAATATTAGAAAACGTCTCAAAAAATATCAATTTACGTCATCTTATTCATTTTGAATATTTAAATATTTAAGCAGCAGCATCCCTGTTAAAAAAAGCTACTATTGCCAACCAAACTACGGTTGCCAACCCTACCAAGCCTAACAATTACTGAGAAACCTCTTATAGGGGAGGCTATTTATTTATTCTTTATCGATCATATTACAAAAAAAAAAATGTCTGATACAGAAGGCGGACTTAATACTATATAGCATTCTCTCGCAGTCAATCTTTGGCAAAACAGAAATGTAATTATGCGGTGAGAAAATTAAAAATTGTCGTAGATAAACAATTGCATGCTTTGTCCAGCAGTGGACAGTTAACGGCTGGTACAGCAACTATAACAAGTATTTTTAATACAATAACAATAGATATTAATATAAATTTTATCATTTATTTACGACTTATAGTCACTAATATATATATTTAGCGTAGACGCCAGATAATTATGAGTGTATAGATAAGCACACGACTTCATTCATATTTCGTAAGAATGTCCCACATAATGTTATTATCACTCGCAATGTATGCACATTAGTAAGTTTTTAAAAGTCCTCAACCGACTTCAAAAAAAGAGGTTCTGATTAGATTTGTTTTATATTTGTTAGCCCATAACTCCGTCTCTTATATAGGTACAAAACAATAATTTTCCAAATTTCCTATTTGGATTTTCTTTTATCTGTAAGTTATATTACAGAAAGTTTTATCTGAAAGTTTAAAAGTACACTTTTAAATTAATCTTATAGAAATTTTATCAAAATTTGTTCAGTAGTTTACTATTTAAATCAAAATAACTTTAGCTATGTTAGAAGTTAGGTTTTTTTTTTTGAGGAATGTAATCTTATCATACAAACGTTAAACCTTTTATAAACATATTTTAGCTATTGAACTGTTTTGTCTCTTTCTTTTATGATACATTCCTAATTTGAAAAAGTAACAAAACAGACATAATAGTTAAAAAAAAAAGGTTGTTTTCAATGGATGATAATGGAATTGTAACCCCGCCTGCGCTAACGGTATGCGCTGACGAGGCACCAGTGAGGGATGATAGATGGGTAATGAAAAAGTAGGTCAGTTAGCCTGTCGTGTTGAATACACCTGGAATTCAGCACGATGCTTTCTAGGGGAAGTGTGGAGGTCGACCTGACAAGGTATATTGCTAGTAATGGGACTGGTAGTCCGTATTTCTAGCAATCCCTTTGCTAACAATCCCATTCCCCCAGTTTTTTTTTATTACAACACAGGGGGCAAACGAGCATGCGGCTCATCTGATGGTAAGTGACTACCGCCGCCCATGTTCACCCACAACACCAGCAGCATTGCAGGTGTGCTGCCGGCCTTTTAAAAAGAAATATGTTCTTTTCTTGAAGGTTATGTTGTCGTATCGGTTCGGAAATACTGCTGCTGGAAGTTGATTCCATAGAGTGGTTGTACGTGGAAGAAAGTGCCTTGAAAAACGCACGGTGGAGGACCGCCACTCGTCCAGATGATTGGATGATTGAAACTAAATTAACTGTTTAACATAAATACATGTACATGTATTTGGAGGAAAAATGGTTATAGACTAGTATTTTATAATAAAAAAGGGAGAAACTGCTTTTATTCTGAACAATAAATTTATCCCGGTAGTAAAGGAGTGAATGCATGAAAACTCTTTATTGTTGCCTGTTCAAATAATAATACATACTATAAAGATTAACAGTAGTGCAAACAAAATCGGGGGTAAAAACTTATACTGTTATAAACTAACCGTATATATATTTCCCAGGCTTGATGTGTGTAAAAAAAAATCACGAATGAGTATTAATACAATGTAACTGACTTTCGTGCAATTGAAATCACGAGAACAGCGCGATCTAATTACGTTTCAAACAATACGTGCATACGTGGGAAAATTTCTAATGTGAGAATGATATTCTTTGCATCGTTCCGCAGATATATGAAACATAATCTTTAAAGTGTTTTCAACCAACTTTACAAAGTAATAAGGTATCAATTCGATCGTATTTATTAAGTGGCTTCAAAAAGCAAAAGGTTCTCTTTGCAAGTGACATCATTTTCAGTGCATATTACACACTAGCTATATTCCGCGGCTTCACCCGCGTGAATCAATATATAAAGTGTCCTATTTGCTAAGTTAGGATACAGTCTATCCGTATACCAAATCTTATTTAAATTTCTTCAGTAATTTTTGCGTGAAAGAGTAACAAACATCACAATCGCATTTATTATATTAATTGGATTCGCCAATCATACAAACCATCTTAACCAATTTAAAACCGATTTTAATCATACTTTTTCAGTCGATAGGGATTTCTGTGTTGTTTCCACATTCACTTTGTCGCTATTGAAGTAGCTATTTTGTATGTAAATTTTGAAACAAATTTTAATAAAGTCCCATATATGCATATTTGCATATTTTAAAACGGACATTTTCATAACAATCTTAATTTATCTAGTTTTATCAAAAAGATATAAAAATTATTAAAATTATAAAATATTTCTTTTCTCTAATTACAAATTATGCTACCATAAATATATGGAGCTTGAAACGACAGCTCTTTTATAAAATAACCGGTTATATTTATAAAGAATAAGTTCGACGAATACCCATTGAATCTATAAATATGAATATGGTAACTGTAATATGTAACATAACTAAAGTTATGCAAATAATGGTAATATATAATCGGGCATTCGCTATATTGGTTCACACATATACCGGTTTGAGATCTAGATTCGATAACCCAAATAAATTTGAATTTTAAATATAATATATTAGTGCTAGTTCTTCTTTTTCTATTTTTTATACAACTACCAGAGAGAGACTTTGTACAGAAGTCATTTGCTTGGATACCTCTATCCTATTCGTATTTCTACCATGAAGCAGTTGTATTAACGGCACCTACGGGAAAAAAAGGATGTGGTCTATTCTATGCTATGTCCACACATCATGGGGAAGCATGGTAATGGTAGGTTAATATTATCTTTGTATGGTATCAATCTCCTCGATCAAAAGATCCTAAGATCAAATCCCAGTTTAATCCTCTAATTTTTAAATCGTCTTCGAAAAAGAGGGATTCTCGTCTTAGTTGTATTTCGTCTCGTATTGAAAAGGCTGAAATCACATTTTCTTTCTATTGAGTAATATTTTTTTATTTTTCTAATTGAACTGTCAAATCTTAAAATTATTAAACTAAATATCTAATGTATGTAGCTCGCTGTATTGGGTTGACTGAAGAGAAAAAAAAGAGAAAAAAATCTTAAATTTATTCCAATACATTTGCAGTTCATTAAAAAATTAATTAAATAAATATAATTAAAATTTTTAGATGTATTAGTATCATTTAGATACATGTTGTTCAGTGTAATTCTGTTTTTTTTTTTTATTAATTAGCTATGATTGCTATTGTGTGACCAATTTTTTTTTAAAATTGACAGAAGAAATCTCTTTTAAATATATAAATCGCCATTTAAATTTATTCTTTTTGAAAAACTCGTATATCCATTGAAAATAGAAACAAACAAACAAAAATTGATGCTTGCTTCGTTGTTCTGAAAGTATGTACCGTCATCCAATCAACCACGTTTTTTTTAGTGATTGATAATTTATTTATTTATTTATTACATTACATCTACTGAGTGAGCTTTACAGTCTTCCAATACCCTCACTTTTTGATGGGTGAAAATGGTATATAACCCCGCCTGCGCTTTTGGTATACGCTGGCGGAGCACCAGTAAAGGGCGATAGATGAGAATGAAAACAGGCCAGTTAGCCCATCATGATGAATTCATCTGGAATTAACCATGATAGTTTGGTGTGTTGTCTATTACTATTCGTCGTCCGCATTAATAACAATACTCCCCCCCCCCCCCCCCGATTAGCTACTGTGTTGTGGTATTATGAGATAACCACATGGTATTCAATGACTTGTTACGGTATGGGATCATCCCAAAAGAGTCTGTGGGAGAGATTCACGTCCTTTTTTTGTTGTACACTTAACTCTTATTTGAAAAAAGCAGTAGCTATGTTTCTTACCCGTTCTCCTCAGTTGAAATTGCATTCCGAACTGGGCGGTAAATTCATAAAAAAATGACAAGTCAAAAATGCTTATTATTAAATTTACTTGAAATAAAATTATTTTTATTTATTTATTTAATAATTATTGATGATAACGATAAAGTTACTAGTTTTATATCTTTCTCGTGATATTTTTTTTTTAATATAACAGATGCCGTGTTCTTTGTTGATATACTCACCTACTATCTATGTAAAACAGGCGACCAACAGGTGCAAATAGTACAGTCAGAGATAAAAATACATATACATTTGTTTTGAAATAATTATATTTTTCTTTTTTGAATAATACAAATTTAAAAAGGCATTTATGTCTATAGTACTTCATATACATATTTACAAAGAAAAAAACAGACACAGTGTGGGCGAAAAGACTTTATGATTGTATGGAAAAGTATCTTTAGGAAAAGTAATGTAATTGTAAAAATATATACAAAGCAAACAAATGGAGCAGATAAGCGACGAGAAAAAATGTGACGATAACTTCCAGTCACAAACAAAATCTTTTTTTTTTAATAAAATTAAAAAGAAAATTAAAAAGGTGCGTCACACTTAGGTACAAAGTATTTAAATTTACAACCGTTCTTTTCATGTTGGGAGTTAATAAAACGTAAAATATTTAATGCAGAACAAAATAATATTGTTTACCTTTGAAAAATTACCTTTTTAAAATTAATTAAATAAAAGAAATTAGGTGTCATACAAACCCACCAACTACTAGGATGTTCTGTATCATGTTGAGCAATAAACACAAAAGAGCACGTCCCAGAACATCCAAACCCGAACCAGTTTAGAAAATTTAAAGAACTAAATTAACCCTATTGAAAATCTAACCCGGGGTCACATTTACGCGAAGCGATATGCTTATACGGAGGTCGTCTAACAAATCCGTTAAGAATATACAGGCTGAAATTTATTGGTAATAATTATTATAGATATTTCTAGATGACTGTACCTGTCTACCCACTATATGCAATATACAACATTGACATACATCGCGCCGTGCACATATAATGTGATACTCGAAGAACACTGAATAAATTACATTAATTAAGCCACTACCAAAATGTGAGATGGTTCTCAAATCGTCAGTTTTTTTGTATCTATGTTACGAGGATTGGTGACGTGTCACCAATTCTGAACTGTAACGAATTTGATAATTCTTCTTGCATTCGATAAGGTTTAATCCCCTATGACTCACACATTATATATTATATTTAACATAAGTAAATATATAACTTATATATTTATATATGTTTAAGCAAGTAAGATTATTTTTAATTGCTAAATTATATTATATACTTGTACCCCTTTCTGTGTATGCTTCTTTAATGAGGTGTCCCCAGTAAAAAGACTTTAATCAGTTGTTAAGGAAGGATAGACTCGCAATCCCATAATTAATATTTATCTTCCAAATTATTTTACTCATTTTTTTACTTCAAGAATTGTTTGCTTTTGATCTTGTCTCACCTATTAGTAAACGATATTAAAATGTAACTAACACTTTATTTCCGTTTTTTCGTTATAATAATAGTCTCTTACAGCAGCTAATATTCTCTTCATACAGGGAGTATATCCTTACGAGCCTAGTAAATGGCTTAAATGACAAAAAGGTGGAGCGGTAAAATCTGTAAAAGAAAAAGCCAGCAAATAAACCGGTATAGGTTTTCGCTCGGAGCAGCAACGTCGCTAGACAGTCATTATTACTTAATTTGAAATTTTTTTTTTATACCATGAATGTGGCAAACAAGCCTAAAGCCTGTCTTATGGTAAACGGTTACTGTACACTATGGACGCCTGCAAAACTAAGGGTGTCACTTGCACGTTGCCGACCCTGAAGAAACCTTAATATACCTTTTAAAGAAACCCATACTGTAGTCTCTCTTCCAAAAAACAGCAATATTCATAATATTAATACTAGATTTAAAGACAAACTTGCTGTCCCCAAGTATCGTTTAGAAAAAGTTAATAGGTCTTTTATGGGAATAGGTATAAAAATTTACAATAAGATACCAAAGGATATGTTGGAATTACCCTTAAATAAATTCAAAACATCTGTTATATCATATTTACTGAGCAAAGCCTATTACTCACTAAACGATTACTTGAATGACGAGTGTGCATGGCAATAGTTGTTCATGCACTGAATTTTCATTTAATGTTAGACATAGACACCTATATAAATATACATTGTAAATAAACTGGCTTTAAAAAAAAAGTAATTCAATTGAGTTTCTTGCCAGTTCTTCTCAATTGGATCTATATACCGAACTGGACGGTAGGGAAATAAATAAAATTATAATGTAAAAATTTGACGTTCATAAGCGGCTAAAATGTCCTACATGAATAAATGATTTTTGAATTTGAATTTGAATTTGAATTTAGGAGAAACCTCGACAGGAAGCTCACTCAACAACTTAGGTGTTCACGTTTGCGAGAGAAAATTCCTTTGAAACCACACTGAATGTGACCATTTAAGTTCAAACATCTGAGGAATAATTCCCTGTCGATGACGAGCGGTGAGATTTTTTTTTCTACAACACAGGGGCAAACGAGCATGCGGCTTACCTAGTGGTAAGTGACTACCGCCGCCCATGATCACCCACAACACTAATGGTATTGCAGGTGTGCTGCCGGCTTTTTGCTGCCGGGACGATAAACAGTGACTGTAAGCATCATTTCAAAGAATTCCTTAGACCGCAATCCGTTATACAAGCAGTAGAACACACAAAGGGAGGTAAAGCCTCGCCTTAGACTTAATGACTCGATATCGCCTGTGAGCTTGGGATCGTCGACTATTCTGATAGCTCGTCTTTGAACCCAGTTAAGAGAACCAAGCGGGCCAAGGACTCCATAGAGGTCCAGACTTACGACTTGTATAATTTCAAAATGGCGATCGATTATTATAAAGAACGATACCCCAAAGACTTCTATAGTTATATTATAATTATATTAACTCAAAGAAACAATCTCGAAGCGAATAATGGAACTATAAAATTGTCTAAATTACTTTCAAATAATTATCCTGAGTGCTCTCAAAATTTGCTATACTCGTAACTTAGTTATTAGTTGACTACACTTAGTTCTAAATAAAATTTAATTATTAATTATAATCAAGCATATTGATTATAATGTTAAACCAAAGGTTTGGACCCACTGATATCCTTTTAAACCAATAATTTTGACTAAAACTTTACCTATAATACCCGATCAAATATCAATTTTTAAATAAATATATTTACAATTTTTTTCAGAAACAGTTACAAAATTTTATTTTAGAATTATCCTCAACGTTTAGTAGCATTTTAAAGTATTTCATAACTAAAAACCATAGAAATTATTATATGTTCTTATAACTGAATGTTTGTGTGCTTTTCATCATCAAGTTTTTTTTTAATTAAACAATTTAATATGTGACGTAACATAAATATAATTGTTAGAGAATTGTTTTTTCTTTTTTTATTATTCTATAATCTTAATAATCTCTAAGTTAAAATTGTATCCTTATTTAAGCAATAAATTAGATTTGCATGCCTACAATTTTAAGGCAATTAAACAAATGCCAAAAAGTTTTGTCACATGGCCCTTATAATGTCAAATGTCTGTTTAAAGCAAATAAATATTTCATTTCAACATAAAAAATATTGGTAAAGGTAAACGTAAACAAAAATATATATGGTACATATAAGCACCATATCCTGGATTACTACTACTCGTGTAGGTACTACTCGTGTAGGTACTACTCTTTATTTAAAAAAAAATCTCTCAACCACCTGCATTGGACACGAAGACTTCTGATGTGACTTACCCAACGACAGGTACGACTTTACATGCCCTCTGAAACACGAAATGTGACAATCACTTAAAATAACCCAAACAGCAATTTGAAAATTCTGATATTTTTGCTGAAATGATTTTGGGATATTGGAATCCCAGATTGCAGTAATAGTGTAGTCGACTGAGCTTCAATCGTTTATGTACTAGATTAAAAGAGAGGATATTTTATTCTAATTTAGACGGCCATAGTCAAAGGTAACGGCTACTTGAAAATATAAGATCTTATATAAGTAACAAGAATTAGTCTGCCAACTTTCAATGGTAGATAGATCATGGATGTCAATTCAAAATATTAATTCAGAACGACATATTGACCTAAAGCCCTTTACATCTAAATTCTATGGACATCTTTTTATAGGGCCACCTCCAACCTTGGCCCGTTCGTTGTACCCTCACCCTATACTAACCTTTATAGTGCTCGGCGAACCATGTCATATCTTCCGAACCACTTGTCACGGACCCCTTCAGCCGTTCACAACTCACGCCACCACAGTTCTAATTATAATGGAGATTCAATACGATTAGGTAACCGAAAATAGCACATACAGTGTTGCCTCCAACGATAACGGTTGTGTATCAATCAAAGGCAGCTTTTGCGCGCGTTTTATAATCTATTCCGTATTACAGAAGAGCGTTGAATGTCGAACAGTGGGTTTAGACTCGCGCACTTCAACTCACTATTCAGTATTGATGACTTAAATACGAAAGATGAAAGGTATTGTTTCAATTTGAATTGTTAGTAAACCCCAATAGTTTTGACAGTAGATACCTACTTTATATTGGTCACTGTATGAACTAGTTCAATGTCCGAATGTATCCTCATATATGTATATGTAGCTACGTACCTACCTGTCTTCATTTTGGTTTTACATGTTTAAGAAAACACAATAATGTGTTTACTTTGTCCTATAGAAATTAATTCACTTATTCACAATTTTAATACGCAATTGTAAATTATGAGAATGTTTTAATGAGTTTTCCAAGTTGTTTTATCTAATTATTATAATTGTATTAAATATTAAGTTGCATATATTGTAATATTAGCTGTTCAAATGAGAGCGATTAAATAAAATAAATTTATTTTATTATTTCTAGCATTCCGGATGAAGCCAATATGACAAGAAAGTTTCTCTTCTGTTTCCCACTTCGACTGGGGAACATTGTCTTCGGTTATGTTATAATTGTGAGTACCTCTTTAATTATATTTTACATATAATGAAACTACATAGGTAGGTATCTATTTCTAACAATTTCAATGTTATAGAAATGAACGTTTATAGATATAAATACCGTAAAAAAATTTAAATCCTTTTAAAAATAAAAAGCTACATGATGAAGTTACGCAATATTGCTATAAAATTTTAGTAGGCGTTATTATAGGAATGCGATGCCAGAATGAATTGTTTTGCTTTGCAATGCATAGAGAGATTTTAAACTCTATTTAGTAAAAACGTTGATTATATTTGGACTCAATTGATAATATCGATCCTATAATATATTCTCTAAATCAATATAATATAATAATTTATTCCAACAGTATTCTTCTACTTACTTTTTTTTATACAACTTAGAATGGCAAACAAGCTGACGGCCCACCTGATGGAAAGTGGTAACCGTCGCCTATAGACATGAGAAGTACCATGGACATAACAGAGCATACTGTTTCGCCCATGATACCCCCCATGCGTTGCCATTCCTGAGGACTCAAGTGTTATTCCTCTGTACCCTGTAAATACACGCTATATCCCACCCTTCAAACCGAAACACAGCCATGCAAACACAACTGCTTCACGGTTGAACCACGAATGGGACAGAGGTACCCAAGCAATCGATTTTTGTACAAAGTCTCTCTCTGGTCTCACTTTGCTGTGGTTTTCCATGTATATATTGATATTAGCAACATATAATTGATATATTTTTGATGTTAATGTATAACCTCTTTATGAATGCTTGTACCAATGGTAATAAAACTATTAAAGATTGTTCAATAAAAGAAGTGTCACAAGTATGTATTATTTACTACCCATTGATGTATACCACAATACCTCCTCTTCAGTTTTTCTGTGCAACATATCATTTCTATTTCTCTTAATTCCCACATTCCAAATACTGCCCTTAATTTTAGAACTATCGTTATTATCTAACTGATTAGATACGACAAATATAATTAATAACCTTATTGGTAGACACTACCTCACCTGCGGGTGATTAATCATTCCTCATACAATACAAATATTTATATTTAAGACTGTCTTTTGTTAACATTCCAGATTTCTTTTATATAATTCCTGTATAATTAACAAAAATAAGCCATTTAAGTATATTTGTCTAATAAACACTAAGTGCAAGGGGGAAAGGATTGTTAGTAATGGGTATAACCCATTACTAACAATCCTTTTCAGTCCCACTGCGAGCAATATACCTTATCAGGTCAACCTCCACGCGTTAACACCTGAAAACCTGATGGTTTCCAGGTGTTAACGGGTGGAGGTTAACCACAATGGTTAAAACTGACCTACCTCTATCCTCATTTATCATCTATCATTGGTACCCCACTATCGTATACCAACAACGCAGGCGAGACTAGCATTCTATTTTCACCCATTAAAAAAAAATACGCTAGTGCCTAGCCTGCAAGTTTTACTCAGTCTAATTCCAGATAAAGCTATAAAGCATATATTCGGCGATATTTATTAATTAATTTTTATTTTTTTATGTACACAGATATGCACATAACTGAATATTATTTTTATTTATTATATTTTACTTTATTAACATTATATATTAACTATTAATCTAAATTTAACAGGAACAAAAAAAAAACAGAATTACGTTATCAATTAATTGCTATAAATTGAAGCGACTGACGATATGTAATGAGTCAGTCGTTTTTTGTTTTATGCACATACCGCCAATTTTTATCAAAAGAATGTTTCTTTTTTTTATATACACCGCCATTTGTATGCTGCCAGCTACAATATGAATAATAAATAGTTTTATTTAGCTGTAATCTCATTTAAGTGAAAATTTATAAATTATTTTAAGAAATAAATACTACAAAGTATTTGAATTATTAATTTCCAGACGATAGCAATAGCTGTGTTCGGGTACAACCTCTACGAGTTGGGTCTCACCCTCGTCTCTGACAACTATGAGGACGAAAAGTTCCGAAACTTCGAGAACTTGGAAAACATATTCGGGAAGAACAAGACGTCGCTGGTGGCTGGCATCACAATAGCGTACTACATATCGTACTGCGCTGTATCCTTCCTGCTATTTATATTTGGAACTTTGCTGGTCTGCGGCGCGTATCATGTGAGTTACATTTCATAATATTTATTTACATTTTTATTTCTTTACAAAAAATATATTTATTTATTTAACACTTTATTGCGCCATGATTACAAGACTTGTTGAAGAATTTTCAATATAGCTAAGCAAATTATATAGAAAATATTTTTTATGATAATAATACTTAAATGTCACATCATATAACTGCCTATTTTATTTTTAAATATCAATTTAATTCATTTGAAAAGGTTTGCTGGAATCATCTCTTATTAGAGATAAGCTCGCCTTTGTACATTACATTTAAATTAATTGTTCCTATCTTTATATTTGTGTACAATGAAGAATAAAGTGGTATCCTAGCTTGAGAATTAGACGACTGTTGTGGATTTTAAGACACTCGTTTGTGTTATGTGAAGTAACAACGAAAATATAGAAGCACAGTCCAGAACACACAGATCCGAGCAAATTCAAAAAAGTTCATTTCTTAAATTGACCCAAACGGGAATCGAACCCGGGACCTTATTAAACAAAGCAACGATCACTACTACGCCACGAAGATAGTGTTACAAAAACAATAAATATCAGATAATCAGTCATAATTTGTAATGTAATGCTGACCAAAGACCTCCGCCAACTGCTCTCAACTACCACGGTCGCCAAAACATACCATTTTCATTAAAACGGTCAAAATCGTCTCTCCATCTTATACCCAGACCTCTTTTTGAATGAACCTCTTGTAGGCATATACTAATATTTTTTCCCCTTGTTTCACTTTTACAAATCAGCTTAGTCCTGGAAAGGGGGGTGGGGAAGGGATTGTTAGTAATGGAGACTGAGAATCCCAGTACTAGCAATATACCCAACCAGGTCGACCTCCTCGCAGTTCCCCCTAGAAACTATCATGGTTAATTCCTGATGAATTCATCATGATGAGCTAACTGACCTGTTTTCATTCTCATCTATCACCCTTCACTGGTGTTCCGCCAGCGTATCCCGTTAGCCCAGGCGGGGTTACCATACCATTTTAACCCATCAAAAAAAAAGTCCTGGAAAAGAAAACGCTTATTTATTTTTAATTGGGTTTACAATGACGTCACGGAATACTTAATTAGAATACAGAATTAAGGAACAAACCATTAATATAATAACTTTTTATTCACAACCAAAACCGGCATTAATCTTCACAAAATTGTTATAGAAACAAGGAAAACTGGAGTAAATTCTTTCCATAGAAAAAAATGTCGTCGCTATCATGTTATACGTAATATACCTACTTATGTATAAAATAAACAGTCGAATTGGAGACGTATTTTTTTAAAGGAAAAATAAGATGATCACTAACTTTATTAATTAATTCATAACTGGCGACCTTACAGAAAAGATCTTCAGTTAAATAATTGTTAACTTCCAAATACTTACTTCTGCATCTACACTAATATTATAGAGGAAAGGTTTGTATTTTTGTGTATATGTATGTTTGTAATGAATAAATTCAAAAACTATTTTGCCGATTTCAAAAATTCCTTCACCATTAGAAAGCTATATTCACCCTGAGTAACATAGGCTATATTTATTGTTAGAAAAGATTAGGGATCCTTATTAAAACTTTAGTAACGTAGCTCGAGGTGTAAAAAATATGCTATTATATATGAAACTATTGGTGATAGAACAAAAGTATGTTCTACAATATTGAAGAAAATATCAATAACTACAAAAAAAAACTTCGCGATACTATATGTCTAACTATTGTCGTTATGTCACAATAACCACTTTTTACATTTTAAAAGTTGATAAAAATATGTAGGTACTGACCAAAATTACACCATATTATTCATACTTTTGTTTAAATCCTTATCCAAATAAATCATATTGTTTTCAAAACTATTTCAATTTATGTAGATTACATTTTGAATTGTTCAAATCGGCTATTCCATTCAAAATATATTACAAATTTAATAAGTCATAGAAACAGAAAAAATAACGCTGTCGCGTTGTACATATTATTCATACCTATGTATTTATTACTCCTTATCCAAATAAATTATTTTGTACTCAAAATTATTTCAATATCTGCAGATTACTTTTTGAATTTTTCAAAACGTAGGTATATTCCATTCGAATGATATTATATTGAAAAGTGTAAAATGTTGTAAAAATGTCCACCCGTGCGAAGCCGGGGTGGGCCGCTAGTATAATATAAATGTAAAGGAGATTTTGTCCTTATAGCGCCAATCTTATAATTCCAATACAAATTATTGTTTATGAATAATGAAATAAAAAATAATCACTATTAAATTTTGTATACACGTACTATGGATGGAAAAGAACATAGGCTACTTTTTATGACGATCAGTAAACATATTCCGGTCACGCGGACGAAGTCGCGGGTAAAAGCTAGTCCCTTATAAAAACGAGCAAATTACAATACCTCCTTACATCATATGGTTATGAAGTAATATGTATGTATGTCTATTATAGTTTATTAAAATTCTAAATGAACTATCTTGTCTGATACGGCTACAGGAGAATTCCATGGAAGAATAGTAATGAATAACATCTATACCTTTAGCATTTATTCAAGGAATGAATGACGTTGATCACACTGTGACATACACACATATCTTATTCTCGTAAATCCCACATAATATATGTTTATTGGGGGGAAAGGGATTGTTAGTAATGGGTCCAACCAACCAGGTCGATCTCCTCGCGGTTCCCCCTGGAAACTATCATGGTTAATTCCTGATGAATTTATCATGATGGGCTAACTGACCTGTTTTCATTCTCATCTATCACCCTTCACTGGTGTGCCGCCAGCGTATCCCGTTAGTGCAGGCGGGGTTACCATACCATTTTCACCCATAAAAAAAAAAGGTTTATTATACGTCACACTAAAAAATACTACAATTTTTTACACTAACCTGTCCAAACGGAAACCTTTATATCGTGAATATAATTTCCGCCCATACATACATAATATGGAAGACTTTGCATAATAACATTAAATAAAAACACAAGTAAAACACTCCAATACCTTCTTCATTCCTGCAAAATTACATAGGAAATCATTCTCTACTATATGGTCCATTTAACGCAATCACTCAGGTAATAGACGTTAACCGTATTGAATTTATCATTCCATGGTTAAACAGCTTTGTTAAAACATCTTTACTTTGATCAATCGATAGCATTATCTTTGTAGTTGTAGTATCCAAAACTACAGAAAAAAAATCTTACAGATTAAATTAAGAATAGAGATTAATTTTGACTCCAAAAATAATAATAGTAATGCCTAAATTACCCAAAGGTTGTCTGCAAGACATTGTTTAGCGATAAGACGGCCTTTTGTACCACTTCTCATTAAAATCAACTGTATTTCATATTTTATAAAGGGTGAAGACCAATAAATATATAGATAATAGTAAACACTTTATTGCATAGAAAAGAAAGAAAGATGATGGATGCGAGATGAGATGAACGAGAGCATAAATAAAAATAAATAGCCTTGCCAATACTCCTAAATTAACAACCTGGAAATTAATATCCCGGGCCCACGGATGCTCCACAAGGGGCAGCAACGAAAAAAAAAAACTTTATTGCTCACAAAAAAGATTGCATACAAGAATACCGCAAATAAGCTTTCGGTGATATTTTAAAAGGAGCACTTGCAAATCCTTCCTCAACTATTATGTTCCTTTAGTCGCCTCCTACGATACTCCCAGGAAAGGAAAGATAAAAATTCATGTTATTGATTAAATATTATTTTGTCTTGCCTTGTTTCAGGCCAACCTGTGCTTGGTGACCAGCTTCTTCGTGTACAGCTTCATACATTTGTTCTTCACAATAGGACTTATTGTGTGGGAGGCAGTGTCTGCAGGTTGGATACAACTTGGATTGATAGCTCTGACAGATTGTAAGTACATATTGTGTATGTGTCTTATTTTTTTACGAGCATTCATACGTGTGACCGAGAAGACCCGGAATAATATGGATTGACCGGGATAAGAAGTAACTTTTGGCCTCTACTACTCTAATACGTATTTGGGTATACAAATATTTTGTATATAAGCAAGAATGTTCAACTGTTTTAAAAAAAAACATGTTAGTAATCTTAACACTAGAATAATAATAATAACAGATAATTAGTACTTGCACAGACACAACCAAGTAGCCAAAATACTCCATAAAGAGTTAGCTCTGAAGTACGGCTTCGCGAATGAGAGGTTGCCGTACTATAAGAATGAGCCCCTGCCGGTCCTCGAAAGCGACAGCGTTAGGCTCTACTGGGACCGATCCATCATCACGGACAGGACAGTTCTTGCGAACAAACCTAATATCGTGGTGATGGATCAGGCGCTCTCGAGGGTGTTTTTAGTGGATGTCACCATACCGCATGACGAGAACCTCGTGAAAGCCGAAACCGAGAAAAAGAAAAAATATCTCGACCTGGTTCACGAGGTGACCGAAATGTGGGGAATGACATTCACCGAAATCATTCCAATCGTTATGTCGGTGAACGGTCTTATCCCAACCAGTCTGGAACAACATCTCAGACGGTTGGGATTCCGAGGCGGCTCACTCCCGGTAAAGATGCAGAAAGCAGTGCTTTTAGATTCTGCGCGCATTGTACGCCGGTTTCTCTCCTTGGGGCCCTGAACACGGGCCGACTGTGCTTCTGCCGGGGGTTAGTTGCCATCTCCTCTCCTTAAGAGGGGAGATGTGAATTTTGTAAAAATTTAAAAAATAATAATAGTATAGTTTATACAAATATAAACATGATATTTCGAAATATCGTTTAGAAAAAGTTCTTTTATGTGAATGGGAATGGCCATTAAATGTTATAATAAAATACCGTAGGATATTTTGGATCTACCTCTTAATAAATTTAAAACTGTTAATAAAAAACACTTATTGAATAAAGCCAGTAAACACAGTAAACGATTACTTAAATGACAAAAGTGCATGGTGTTAGTCGATCAGGTATGAGCTTTTAACGACCATGTAATTTTAGACATACATACATATTACATTTAATTTAATACACATAATGAAGAGAGATTTAAAAGAGTAACTGTTGAGTTTCTTGTAAACTCTTCTCAACAGATAACAACTTTCCGAACCCTGCACTAGATTTAAAAAAAGTGCTTCTGAATAGGTCTATTTGAATAAAGATGATTTGGAATTGAAATACTAAATTTAGATCAAATTTCATAACAGTTAGATGCCAAGATGTAACAAACAAATAAACAAACAAAAAATGTATTATGCCATCATGTCAGCCGTTAACTGTTCACTGCTGAACATAGGTCTCCCCATAATGGGGTTTTCCCAGTAGATTCCTCGCTTGGCAGACGGTTTGGCAACCGCAATTAGCCTTTGGCGATATTTTAAGAAGAACGCTGCTGCCCATCCCTTGACCATTAAGGCCCCTTAGTCGCCTCTTACCCATTAGGTGACCCATTCTATGCTGTGACCACACGACGATTTTTTACATTAAGAAAATTACAGAAGACAGACTACGAAAGCAACAAAGAGCAATGAGATAATTAAAAAAACAAAATCTGTAAATAACTAAGGAGTTTACAACAGTCAAAGTATTTATTATAATTATTTGGCTGTTATTTATAATGAGATTTCTCACTATTATAATGGTTTGTCTGATATCTATTATAACAATTTGCCCCATATTTTTTATTTTACAATTTATAAAGACATAATTCCAAAATTAGTCTGCATAAACAAAATTGGTCCAAAAGAAGTTTTATCTTAATTTTCTTGATTCGAATTAGGTTACCATTAAATTAAAAAAAAAAACTCCATCAAATGGATCAACCCGTTTACCATTGCAAGTTGCATAAATAAAATAAAAATAAAATTATTGTCCACAGTTCTCCTGATAATCTGTTTGTTCAGCGTGAAGTACCTCATGGAAGCAATCCGTACCGGGAACATATACAGCCGCCCTGGAGAGATCCTGTGTGAGCACAACTTCAGATCAACGGGATCCAAACATTACTACCACGACTTTGACCGATAGTTCCTTAATTTTTACGATGTTACTATACTATAAGTTTCTATAGTTGAAAACTTCTATGGCTATCCCTTTGTATAACATAAAATATTATAATATAAGTGGACAAAAAAATTAAATTTCATTATGGTCAACAACGCGCAGGTGACACCCCTAGTGTTACAGGAGTTCACAGGCTACAGTGATTTTTTATCAGGGGCTCTATGCTCGTTTGCTACCTTTGTAGTATAAAAAAAACTGAATAAATACAAATAAATATTGTCTATTAAAAGTAAAAAATATATAGAATGTAAAATCTTTTCTATAAGTATTTATATTAGTTATTGTTATTATTTATTTGGACTAGTTACATTTTCATTTACAATTTATTATTAAGTACTTATTTGAGAGTACAAATATTTTATTTATTTTGTATCCAGCCGTTAACTGTCCACTGCTGAACATAGGCCTCCTCCATAAAGGGCGTTTTGCCAATAGTTGCCACGCAGCTAGTATTTGGTGATGAAAGAGAGAAAGAGACGCTGCTGCCCATTCCACGCTTATTGAGTTAGTCGCCTCTTACGACACCCACGAATAAAGTAAGGGGTAGTCTATTCTATACCGGGACCATACGACAAATATTTTATATGTAGTATGTGAATAAAAAGATTCTACAAGTGCCAACAATATATAATTAATAATCAAATTTTCTTAAAATCAACATTCGAGAGAGATTGATAACGAGCAATGTATTGCATACAAAAAAAATATAGTCTTAAAACCAGTTCAATTTCAGAACGATGATTTGAGAAACTAGACAAATTTCAAATGTTTGTATGAAACAAACCTATGAACAGCAAAACAAATGTAAAACTTTGTAATAGTCAAATTAAATGGTACCTATATTTCATCAACAATTAATCGAAATAATTAAAGTTTGAAAATGCATTAAAATTATTAAAACTCCGCTCATAGGATTATATCATCATAACATTCCATTCAAAACTATAGATAAAAACCTAACGTTAAGAATCATTGATTTTTTTAAATTATTTTTAAAATATAGAATGATTAAGAGCAATCAGATAGTAAAGAATTTATATATATAACCTTAAAAATTCTTCAAGTAGTAGAGTACTAAATGTGTCAAATTATACTATTGAAATCGATTGAATTATATTAAAATGCTACGTTTGAATTGACAAATTAAATGTCCTGGTATTTTAACTTTTGTAAACTCCGCTTCCTTACATATAAGATAACGTAATATAATATCCAATACTTATCTTATTATAGATCGTAGTCGTAGATACACGCGTGTGTATTTTGAGCATTCCGAGAATAGACTCATTTATCTGACGTGTTTAATTAATGAAAATAATATATCAGCCCAAAATAATAGGAATATGCTATACCTATAAATCTATTTTGCTGATATAATTACAGTTAATTATAGAGAAGCAATTCCTAAACAATCAAGTGGGTAAAAATAACGTTCAAGAAATAAGCACATTACTTATTAAAAATCCGGCAGCACGCTTACAATTCCTATGGTGTAACGGGTGCTCATGGGCTATGGTAGTCACTTATCATAGGGTGAGCCGCAATGCTCGTTTAAAAAATAAAATAAAAAAATTACTCACGATTTTAACCTCTAATGAGGTAGACAGAAATATTTCTGAACTGTTATAAACGTAATAATCGACATACTTATATTTCTTCCATATTAAAATCAAAAAGGTACATTCAAAATTTTATATTAGTCATGATTCAAGCAAAAAGCCGTAAAACATCTTTGTAGGTTAATATATTTTAATGTCTTCGTTCAATATTCAGCTCAAGTTTTGAACTTTAGCCATCAGTTAAAATTCAAACGCTACCGGCGTTATATGAATATAATAACTTTCAAATAGGATATATCGAGTGAGACAATAAAAATTGATATCCTACTAAAACTTGATATAGAAATAAGAAGTTTTCAACATTGATTGATGAATTATAAATATAAACTCCGTTGTGTCAAATGTTCGTGATTCCTGTCTGTACCGAATTAAATAATTTTATATTAAAATCTTGATCTGATTGTTTTATTTTTTATATTAAAACTAGTGAACCTTATAGACGTTGTCCAAAACCCGTTCGTAACGCCACCTAGTAGGTTTGTAAATCTAACTGTCCAGGGACCCACTCAAATATAAAATAAATTAAATCTTCAAATCTTAAAATCATTAAATTTTTAATGTAAGTATGTATGTATATTAATTTATTTTAACATTTATTATATAAGTAGGTAGGTATTATATGTATTTATAGTGTATGTATTTATGTAATATTTTTTATATATTTTAATATTTTATTTAACTGTATATTTGTTTATGTATTAATAATTGTAGCACTTCAGCTGCCCTCTAACGAAATGCTTTCTAACTGTATTGATTTGACTGGAAGAGATCTCTGTCAGAGATAAGTCCACCCTTGCTCACAACATTTATAAATATTATACATTATTTTATATGTAACTTACAAGTGCAATAAAGAATATATATAAAGATTGTGTTCCACAAAAAACGGACTTCAATTATGTTACATGACCGGTTGTTTTGATTTAAACATTACAGAACCGATTTTGTTAAAACTTTTATGGGACCAATCTGTAAGTATATCCTCTCGGATTTAAAAAAATCCAAATCGATTTATTACTAACGAAGTTATGAGGTAACAAACATAATGAAATACAATGAAATTAAACTCCTTCATTTTAAAGTCCGTTGAAAAATCTTAAACTAGTTTAGGAAGGTTTCAGTGATATAAACACATACGGAAGAATTACATATCATAGACAAGATATACTAATGCAACTAAATGCAACGCGCAGGTAGAATTTCTTGTGCTGCAGACATCCATAAGCTTTAATGACTGTTTACAATCAGACACGCTGTCATCATTATAATAAAAACCAGAGAGAGACTTCGTACAAAAACCTCTTAATTGGATACCTCTATCCCAATTGTGTTTCTGTCCTGAAACAGTTGTGCTTACAGTGCTGTATTTCAGGTTTGAAGGGTAAGACATCAGATAATGTGGTAAAATTACAGGCTGCAATGCCTTAACACTATTATCATCATCCTAGTCATTATCAGTCCACGCCTGAACATAGGCCTTCCCTATAGGCAGCCATACGATCCTAAGCCACTAACATCCATTGACTCACTGCAATGCATTTGAGGTCATCACTTCATCTAGTGGGAGGTCATCCTACAATGCATATACTCCTACGGGGCCATAACACTATCACCATTTCCATTAGCCTTTAACTGTCCACTGTTAAAAATAAGCCTCCCCTTGCTATACTTGCCACCATTGGCAGGCATAATACCCTAATTCTCAGAAATATCAATACATTAATTTAAACGTCTGTATAAAAATAAGCAATAGAACCCAACACACGGATGTAGATTCGGCGTTTATCTCTTTGTTAGATCATCGCAGAAACACGGCTAAATGAATTTCAACGATATAATTATGATTTAGCTGGTTTTTTTTTTTAATGGACGATAATGGAATGGTAGCCCTGCCTGCGCTAACTGTATACGCTGGCGGGGCACAAGTGAAAGATCATAGGTGAGAATGAAAAGACAGGTCAGTTAACCCATCGTGTTAAATACACCTGGAATTCAGCGCGATGGTTGGGGGAGCCACTTGAAAATCTGCTTGACAGAATATATTGCTAGTAATAGGAATTGAAGAGGTATTAGTATATATGCAGAGGTCTTTGTAGATGGAATAGTTATTTTACAAAAAAATCCGCAGGCTGATTTTAGTACCAAATAATCATATTTATATATTTAATGAATTAATTTCAACCACTATGCAGACAAAGTCGCCGACAGAGCTAATAGGAAATTAAATTACTACCCTCTAGATTATTATATAAAGTTCTGAAATATTTTTTCACACAATAAGCACTAAAGTACCTCTCTAAAATACATTACAGCGTCAGAAAATAAATTACAACACGAAATGTCGTAAATAATAAACACCATTAAGTCAGTTATAAAGTTCTCTGAAGGGTTCTAAGTTCTATTGTTGGCGAAATTAAGCTACAACTCGTTTTGGAGTATTTCAAATTAAAACATGACTTACATAATTAATTATATAATAAATTAATGGTACTTACAAAACTACAAAATAAATTAGTAATCCTTTTTAAAAGGAACTATTATTAATTACATATAACAATTACTCAGTATTCATAACTGTTTATGGAATGGTAACATCCATTTAAAAAAATTTGGCAATCACAGTTCGGTATAAATTATTCAATAAATTACTTAATCCTACTTATTATAATTACTAATTATATTTATAAAAAATATTGTCTATATCTTGCTGTGATGTACTACTGAGATCTCGTCTTCGCCGTCTACGGCCCAGCATCATAGGTACCACCATAGCCATTGTCGCAGGCACCATGCCTGCTCCAACTGCTGCCAATATAGTAGATCTATCAGGAGCTACGTTTGAAACCTTCTTTCTAATAACTCTTCTCACTGGCTTCGATTCCGACATATCCAAATCGTTCTTCTTGTCCATATCTCGCTTAGATTCTTCTACCGTTTGAAAACTTTTCTCAACTTCTAACAATCCCCCATGAGATGTAGTCATATTCTTTTTAGCATTATCTATAGGTAAAACAGTTAATGCCACAGCCTGATGTGAGGTCACAGATCCAAAGTCGGAACCGCCATCAACTGGTGTACTCGACGGATTCAATGATCTCTGGCGTTTTTTATTTCTATATCCTTTAGTTGTAGATAGCAATACCCATTGACCATCACCATAAGGAGGTCTAGAATCACTAGAGTCATAATCACTGTCTAAATCTGGGTTTCCAGCATATACTACTTCGGTTGGTCTTCTCATTGGACGCTTGTGTATTGCAGCTTGATGAAGCGCTTCGTACTCATATGGGAAATGTGACGGACGATGGTCAGTTACTACAGAATCAGATATCCCATAAAATACTGTATCGTCATTTGGACGATGTTCTTCAGAATCACAACTGGGTTTATGAGGACGCCTTCCTTCATCTGGAGACCATGAAGAAGAGTAAGATGATTGTTGTGGCTTATTCCATGTTGGTTTTTTAGGTACGTTATAGTCGTCAGTATCATACGTCAGCGGTACTTGAAGTTTATTATTGATATATCCGGGACGATTTTGACTGGGTCTTTTATGCGGAAAGCTATAGCTAGTACCAGAATCTGGATAGGAGTTATATCTATCATCGTCTGGAAATCTATTATTGTTATCATTCCAATGATTAGGTTTTTGTTTCTTAACATTTGGTTTCCACTTTGATATTTTACTAGTAGACCATGCAACAGGCTCAAGCGTCACCCATCCATCTTTATCATCATAAGGATGTTTATGTTGTTTTACTTTTAATCTATTCCATGTAGTATAGACTTTGCCATTTCCATCCTCATCGTCATCTTCACTTTCCATACTTGGATAACGATCAGCTTTCAATTTATCTTTTTTAAGTTTTGCTGCTAAAGCTGTAATTGCTTGTAGACGATCATTTGAGTAATCGTGATAATTTTTCATTTTCTCCTCATCCACCATATAATCCTCATAACCTTCATGAGGTCCTTCATTACCATTGTATCCTTCTTGACAAGACGGTCCATAGCATCTTGGAGTATTCCCATTGATATCGTGAACAATATGCGTCATCAGATTCTTCAATTCCATATCCTCTTCTCTTCGATCCACAGTAATATCCTTCCATTTAGGAAATTCACTATCGGGTGCTCTTTCTATAATTGTAATCGGCTCTTTCCCAGGAACATCCAGCTGATAACTCTTCACTTTCTCGTCATGTTCATTTTGGTTACTAGAACTAGCTAAAGCAAGGATGAACACGCAAAAGGTTAGTAGCCACACTGTCATTTTCACTGAGGTAATTTCACTTTCGTTCGTTCACGTTGCGGTGCGCGTGGAGACGCGCGCGGACTGAACGCTCGCGGCCGCTGCAGTCCACTGTTATAGTTTTGATTGTGGATGCACAATGTACACCCTCCCTGCGCCTGCGCCATAATGCAGCAGTAATTCCAGCTCGGTCACGACGAATGAGCGAGATAATTATGTGGCGACAGTCGTTTACCGGTGACTATCTTAATTGACTATCGCGACTCTCACAGGGCCGTGACCCGCAGGTGAAACGTTTATCATTTTGTACACTATTTTCTCCGTGGATAATAAGAGAAAAGCAAAATAAGTATTTGCCACAATAAATATCACAGCTCGACAGAACAAGCAAGGCAAAGAAAAGTTTTAACTAATAAGTATATTACTTTAAACTGTTTCAAAGAAATACAATTTAAGTTTGTAAAAAGACAAAATTATGCTAATTACATTGTAAGTTAAGTAACGTTAACTTATAAATTTTTAAATTTTATTCTAATACAGTTTTTTTACTTCATATTTTATGCAATTGTATCTTTATTTAAGAGGAGTAATTAAATGATTTTATTTATTGAAATTATAAAAAAAACACAAATACATACTTAGTCATAAATTTGCAAATAGCTACAACACGAGGTGATATTTTTCCCTGAACAGTGTTATAAAGATGCTGGTTCGATTCCAAGTTTGCACACGTATTTTCTATCTGGGTTGTTGTTAAGATATTTCGTTCACTTTATTCTTTCTTTTGTATCACAAGCACGTATTCTAATTCTAGTTTCATGCATTTAATAAGATTGTATTTTCTTTTTTTTTTTTGCTATTCTATTACATAATATATTTTTTTTATATTAAATCTTATTTTTCATATTGGCAAAGAAATACAAATGTTTTCAAAATAAAAATGGCATAAAAATAATGTTTTAAAAGAAACAAAACAGCCAAATAGAATAATACAACACGCATTATTTCACACAATTATGTGATTTTGACATGTGTAAACGCAACAAATTGGAATGTAAGCTAAGTGATAACATTTCTTATTTATTTATTTTATTCTGGACAACAAACAAAATTAAATTAATTAATTAAATAATTAATTAATCAATAAATAAATTGTGTGACTTTAATTTCACGATAATTATTTTATAATGAACAATATAATGGTTGTCTGGAATAGATTGCTATATATCAATAAAACCGCTTTTTGTACTTCATCAATGTAAGTAATGTAAGGAAAAGAGACTAATTATAAGAACTATTGAGAAAAGAATTTTCCAAATCGGTTTACAACTAAGTTATGAAATAACAAACATAAAAATATACAACAGAATTGTGAGTTTCCTTTTTTTTTGAAGTCATTTGAAAACAGTCAAATTCATATTAAATAACATGGATTTAGGGTCTTTACAAATCCTATACCTTCTAAGTTAAAGTTTATTACATGTGTACATAATTATTTTATAATAACAATATAATGGTTGTCTGGAATAGATTGCTATATAGCAATAAAACCGCTTTTTGTACTTCATAAATGCAATATTTAACATTAAGGAAAAGAGACTAATTATAAGAACTGTTGAGGTCAGAAGGGAATAAAAATGTTAGGACACTTGATACGACACGACGAAATTATGAACATTATAATAGAAAGAAGGAGGGAAAGAAGGAGACCAAGGCATAGTTACATCAGGCAAATCAAGGAAAAAGTTGATGTCGTGTCGTATCAAGGGTGAAGAGACTCGCAGAAAATTGTAGTGAGTGGCAAGAGCTCCGCCGACAACAGCGCAGCTCTTAAATAGGATAGATAGATAGATATATATAATATTATTCTTTAAGTAGTGCAATAAAGAGTAAATAAATAAATAAATAAATATTTTTTAATCATGAGAAAGAATAGCTTGTAACAGCGTTGCAATTAGAGCGAATTTGATCTATACTACGATAGGACTGCAAGCAAGCCATTACAGAGCGCGGAGAGAGAGCTCGGAAACACTGCGAGATAGTTTGCATCCGTGTGTTCCGTGGCTGAAACACGTGGATAATCGTGATATCCTAATTTCACTTAACATTGTAATCGACGTTTAGATTAGACTAGTTTTTTCCCGCTACTACGCACGCAGATTATAGAAGCAAGAGAACCAATGGAATGGACTACAAAACATATTCCTGACTATAAGTTAGACCTTCAGCAATTCAACGGTGAAAACTACATTCATTTTGTTGCAGTAGTTTTGTGTGTAATACCGGAACAAACATACATATAGATAGACAGATAGAAATACACAAAATTTCTAATAATTGTTGTTTTAGCTTCTATTGCTCTTATTAAAACCCTTTCCGTCATTTTTTTTAATATTTTCCATGTTCTGACATTGCCCAGTTACTTTTTATTATATATACAAGAAGATAAGATATACATACATAGACTATAATAGATTAATTAAAATTTAAATCAAATTAAAAGTAAATATCTGGCATGTTGTTGAGATAAAAACAAAATTTTTAAAAGCAAATTAAGCAACAACTGATGTTTACTGATTGTACAGTTTTATTATTATCCATCAAACTTCGTCATCATCATTGTATCAGCCTTTAACTATCCAATGTTGAACATAGGGTCCAGTAGCTACCACACTTGGCAAGTGGGTTGGCAGCAGCAGTTAGACTTTAGTAATGTTTTAGTAGGGACACTGCTGCCAATCCCTCGACCATTATGTTCCCTTAGTCGATTCTTATGGCACTTAAGAGAAATGAAAAAGTGATCCATTCTATGCCGAGATCATACGGCAATCTTTAGATTTGTTTACAAACAGACGTGTCGCCCCAAAACTGCTTAATAATGTATTTGCAATATTGCGACTTTACTAAATATATAATTACGTGTATCACAATATATACGTGTATATTACAATTAGAATACACAATGCATATGATTAAATTATCTTACCATATGAAATGCTACGATATTTTTTTTTATACAACTTAGAATAACAAACAAGCTGACAGCCCCCCTGATGGAAAGTGGTAACCGAATTTACAGGGTACAGAGGAATAATATCTGAGTCCTCAGGAATGGCAACGCATGGGGGGTATCTTGGGCGAAACAGTATACTCTGTTATGTCCATGGTACTGCTCATGTCTATAGAGGACGGTTACCACTTTCCATCAGGTGGGCCGTCAGCTTGTTTGCCATTCTAAGTTGTATAAAAAAAAATTCATCCAATCTATATCTAGTTATAAAAGTTTTAAAGTATTTAGTAGTACGAAATGTTATAATAAACAAAAATAAATTACAAGCAAATGGTAGCCGGTTAAACATTCCTGACTTGTATGTTACAATTATTAAGATGGTGCCCAATTTCAAAAATGAATAATAGCCCATAAAATCTCAGTATAAGAAACATTAAAAACAACATAACGACCACAATTTATATCGAGTTAAGATCAAATGATCCTGCCATTACGCTGATAATTAATACGGTACTAAGAGGTAAATGTACTAGAAATAACTTGTTATAAAAAAAAATGTAGTTATGCTTGCGATTACAATACTTAATGGGATAGTCAGAAGTATTAGATGAATTAAAAATAATACCTAAATAATTTTCATAGTAGTAAAACAAATATGTTATAACCATTTTTGGTTAAATTGTTAAAAATAAAACTTTTTTTTATACAACTTAGAATGCAAACAAGCTGACGGCCCACCTGATGGAAAGTGGTAACCGTCGCCTATAGACATGAGCAGTACCATGGACATAACTGAGTATACTGTTTCGCCCATGATACCCACCATGCGTTGCCATTCTTGAGGACTCAGGTGTTATTCCTCTGTACCCTGTAAATTCACGCCATATCCCACCCATTAAACCGAAACACAGACATGCAAACACAACTGCTTCACGGTAGAAACACGAATGGGACAGAGGTACCCAAGGAATCGACTTTTGTACAAAGTCTCCCTCTGGTGACAAACATTATACAAACTACTTTTTCAGTAAACAGTCGGGTAAACTACTATAGAACTCAACAGTATGTTTATGATATTTACTTGACAGTTTATTATCATTATATAACAAGAGCAAATGTAACAGTTTTTGTTTTTAGCTACTAGCTTACTGCCCGCTACTTCATACACGTAGACTTGAGAAGTAGGAAACCAATTAAATACACCATATCATCATCACCCTTTAACTGTCCACTGCTGAACATAAGCCTCCCCCATGGGGGTCTTGCTTTATCTTGGTAGTTGCCACGCTTGGCAGGCAGATTGGGTTGCCAATCTGTCAGTCTGTCTGCAGTCAGGCTTTGGAAATGTTTTAAGAGGGACGTTGCTGTCCATCCCCCGCCCTCCCTATGTAGCTTCTTACGACACCCACGCGAAAGGAAGGGGTGGCCTATTTTATGCCGTGACATAACTGTATCCAATTTAATTTTCACACTTGCATTCCTAACAAACTGACAATATTTCTGAAAATTATTTTTTTGACATCTATTGATCTTATCAAGACCTTATTAATTTTTCTTAAATATCTCCCATGTACAGACATCGTCTGGTTAAAAATTTTTTATATATAAATATATATATATATTTAATATATTTATATATAATATACATCTAACTATAATGCGCTGTGTCGTAACTCCACGACAGTCACGGTAACGCTTTGCCTCCCCCATTCTTATTTAACGCCATTCCGACTCCTTTATGCTTTCTACAGCTCAGTAATGATTGTTGACAAATTTCTAAATACTATTTTCACTTACCTTTTCTTCCGTAAATGGATTGTGCCATGAAAATTATAGGTGAAGCGGTCAGTAAGGTCGTTGTTCGGTGATCTGTTCTGTGAGGATTGATCGATTAAATACCCGTATTGAAAAGAAGAATCGTCAAATTTAAACCGATTTACATTTTACAATCAGTAAACTCTGATTTTAATCCCAAATTATTTTATCTTAAACTCGTTGTTTTCATTTAAACTTTCTTTCCATTTATCTTTCTAGTAATTTAGAATCAAATATTATAATAAAATATTCAGTTGAATGTGTAATTCAAACATTTTTGATATTACATTAGATTGTATTTATGACAAGTTTACTTCCAGTATACACAAAAATTCTAAAATCCAAAAAAAAAAACACTCCGATTACCTCGATCCTTTTCT